CTGTCTACGGTATCGACGTCCTTACGAAAGAATGGAGCCCAAGCCTGCACGCAATATTCCAAATGCGGACGGACAATGCTTTCGTAAAGAGGGACAAAGATCTCTGGTGTTTTGCATGTCTTCGTTGCGCATAGACGAAACAAGTGTCCTTTGGCTTTGTTTGCGGCCTTTACACATTAGGTGCTGGGCTTGAAATCCTGCGTGACCACTATGGCTAGATCCTTTGCCTCGTTCACCCTTTGCATCGACGGGCTCCTCGCTGTCTCTTCGTCATTTCAGGTGGTCAGTATCTGACATTTAGAGATATTTGGTGGCAAGTCCAATTTTTCGGCCCATCTTTGTACTACCTTTATGTCCCTTGCTAGATCCCATCCAGCTATCTTGACGTCATCTGCAAACAGAAAACAGGGATTTTGGAGATCCCGTGCTAGGTCGTTAATGTATAGCAGGAACAGCAGTGGTCCAAGTACGGATCCTTGAGGTAAGCTGCATTTGACCACTTCCTCCTCGGATGTGTAGGCTCCTACTTTGACACAACTTCCTCTGTGCAAGAAAGCCCATTATCCAGTTCCTGACTTGTCCATCTACTCCCAATAATTGCACCTTATGATCCAACAGATGGTGGATGACCGAGTCGAATGCCTTTTAGAAGTCAAGATAGCATGCCTTCACCGGTAGGCCCTCATCAATTCTACGTGTGACCTCATCTAGGAACACCAGCAGATTTGTCAGACACGATCGCTTTTCCNCTTTTCCAGAAATCCGTGCTGAGTTGATACCAACAGCCTGCTACTGACCATGTAGTGGCATGTTTGTCTTCTAACTAGGCGCCCCAAACACTTACATATTAATTATGTCAAACTTACGGGTCTGTAATTCTCGGCGTTTTGCCGGGATCCAGACTTGTGTATTGCCACTACTGTGGCTTTGCGCCAGTCGTTCAGGACAGTTCCCAGTCTAAGCGACTCTTTAAATAACTCGGAACTCGGTCCTACTATGACGTCAGCCATCGGTTGCACAATCGATGGGTGAATTCCGTCAGGCCCCGCCGCCTTGAACCTATTTAGCCCTGTCAACTCCCGCTGCACCTCCTGAAACCCCACAATGATTGGGGGCATCGTGTAGTTACCTTCGGTTGATGGGAGATTATTTGTTACCCTAGGGATCCTGTACGTACTTTGAAGAGCCGTAACAGGATACGTGCTCTATCGCCTTCATTCACTGATAACTCTTCGGTCGACGATTCCAGAGCACCAACCGTTTCCCGAGTGTTACGCTTAGATTGAACATTCACGTAAAAACACTTGAGATTTCGCTTGACGTTTTGAGCCACGTTTCTCTCAAAATGTTATTTAGCCTCTCTTTGCACTTCCTGTGCATAGTTGCGCGCTTGTTTGTAAGCATTCCACGACTGATAGACCGCCTACCGTCTTCTACGAATGGTTATAGCCCTATCTATATTTGCTTGCCACCAAGAAGGCCGTTGCTTCTTTCCTAACGGAACCAAAGGCGCAAACCTATCCGTATCTGGGAGAAGTCCTGTCTTTATATGGCTCCATCTGGTTTCCAGAGATGCATAAGCTGGGTTGGGTACCCAGTTTATATCCTGCGCCGCTTTGGCCAGTTCTTCTTGGTTGATTCTACCATATCGCCTCCCTAGTTTGGCCGCTGGTTTGCTGTGTCTGCTCTCTAACGTTAGCCGCAGAACCAACTGATCACTTTTCCCTAGAGGCTCTTCCTGGATTATTGTCCTTATGTCTCCAGGAGTTCTGATGATCACCAGATCCAGTATGGACGGCCTGTCATTTGCTCTCAAACGGGTGGCTTGAAGCATGTGTTGTGTCAATGCGTGCTGATGTAGTGACTCTAAAAGCAGTCCACCCCCGGTACCTGCTGGTGCTCTGTCTCTACTCCAGTTGATCTCGAGCATGTTGAGGTCTCCTGGACGTAGCAAGGAATAATTACAGCTGAGCAATTTATTCCTAATCTTCTGTTTTCGTCGCTTGCGGAACCCGGTAGACGCACATGATGGCTAATGCGTTACTGTCTATTTTAACTACGCAACTGATGGCTTGTTTGTTGGGAGTCGCTAGGGCTTCTACTGCCTCCCACTGCGTGTGGTCTGATTTTATCATTATCATAACCCCACGCCCTTGCCTGCCATCCACCCTATCTTGCCCATAAATCGTGAAGTTATCCACCTCCAGTGTGATATGGTGCTTCCGCATCCAGGATTCAGTTATGGCCACCATGTCTATACCTAGGGTGCGCCGTCGCACCTCTCCCCACTTATCCCGTATACTGCAAGCATTGGTGCACCACAGTGCGAC